ACATCTGTTGAACGTGGCAGGGGCATTACTAAGTCCTTGTGGCATTACTAGCCATTACCAAAGCATGCCGCTCGGATTGCTCACTGCGGTGTAGGGTATATCCCGATCTCGCATAAGGATTTGATAGAAGCCATCCATCAAATCCATGGACGAAAAGATGGTACTCTTTGACATACCATCAATGATTACGTCCTTCCTCGGTATCGGCGTCTGAGCCGGTACCGTTGCAGCATTCAACTTGTTGAATGCATGCACTATCCGCCACCCTCCTGTTGCTTTTCGCACACAGAAGGTCGGAGAGCTATGTGGGGAAGTTGATTCCCTCACATGGCCCGCAGCTAAACGATAGGCAAAGAACTTGTCGATCGCAAGTACTTGTTCATGAGGCAGTGGCCACTGCTTCATGACACAGTACTTCGAGCCTGGTTTAAGCTCGACCTCGTGTCGAATACCTTTATCCTTCGGTAATTCGTACGGAACAGTTTCAGGGAATTCATCCTTGAATTCAACCAAATCTTCATAGAGAGGATTTGTCTTGAGCGATTCCCACGATTGGGAGTCATATCTCTCAATTCGTGTCTTTTCATCTAGGACACTCTCGTCCATAGATGAACTACTGAGAACTCTCTCGTTCTCAGTAAACATTGTTGCTGACCTTATGTCGGCTACACACTCGTCGTCAGCGACGAGTACGCAGATCTGCTTGACTTTGCCACTACGCAGATCACGCAAGAACCTTTTATGTTCGAGCGTTGGCAACTGAGTGATCTCCGAAGTCAACTTCGGAGGCGCAATCAGATCAAGTGTATAAGCGCCTACACTTGATCCGTTATTGACTATGACATTTAATGTCTCTGTCATTTCCTGGGGACTTATTCCCTCAGGCTTCGAAGGACTTATTCCTTCGGCTTCCCGGGGACTTATTCCCGCGGGTTTCAGGGAACTTATTTCCGCCGTATTTGCAATATCGGGACTCATTCCCTTAACTTCCTCTAACTGTGGTTGCGCAACCACAGCGAGATCCTCTACGAAAGACTCTCCAGTCGATCAAGGATTATCGTTTCGCTTAACCTGAGAGATCATGGGTTTCTCTTCTAGATGTTCCTCGCTAGGGATACATCTTTGTCCCGGTCCACTCGACTTATTCGAGCGGTGGACCTTCGGTGCAGCCTGTGTTTCCTCACAGCCGCCGTAACTTTTCTCCGAAGTGTTACTATTTGTTACACTAAGGTTTCGTGCAGTCGTACTAACGACCGTACCACAAGTGAGGCCATCGCACTCATTCGTAGTACATCTACACGCTTGTGGACGCTCCAAAACGTTCATCAGATGGCCAACTGAAGAACAAGCGGCAGGCATCGTTACTGTTCGATGTTGCCAGTTTACTCGTGGTTCGTACCTCCTGAGCCACAGTATTCCAAGAATGACATCAAATTTGTCATCCAAATCCAATACGATAAAGTCATCGTCATATTGGGTATCTTCTAGCGTATAGTGGATCTTCACTATACGCTTCATGACGGTTACGGATGCGCCTGTCGCAAGACGTACCGTCATCCTCGTAGAAGGTGTGTCACATTCACTGAACTTGAAGTGACCATCTTCTGGCGATTGGCGTCGCACAAAATTGTTGGACTCCCTACAATCGACTAGAGCTCGAAGGGACAACTCATTTGTCACTTCGAGTTTCAAGGTAATGAGTGAGATCTCATTATCCAGAGCAGCAACGCACAACGTTTGTGTGTTGGGAGCAACCTTTATCAAGAGGCCTACAAATTCTCTTGACGTTGCTGGACCAGTAGGGTGCTCCGCACCTACTGATCCTGACCGTTTTTTGACGGTCCATCCCGTTGTTGCGTCTTTGCACCAAAAGCGGACCCGCTTCCCTGCCCCTTTCTCATGGGTGGAAGGTCACTACGCCCAGTGTCGCGAGACACTGGACGAGGGGCACTACACCCGTAAGCGTAGTGTCCTGTCTTTTGACATCTGTTGCATCTCTGCAACTTCTTGTAGCCTGTAGAGCGAGCCCTCTCGCTCTCTACATAACAGAGTTCCATCGGCTCTGGACCTCCGCTGTCATATCGTCTCGGTTGACGATATGATGTCGAGCTGGCGCGATCCTGTCTCAGACTGAAGTCTTCCTGTTCCGCAATGGAAATGGCTTGTTCTAGTGAATCTAGTTCAAGCCGGAACAGGTGAGTCTTGACGGGACCATCCGCAAGACCCTGCATGAACACCGAAATCAACGTGTGTTCATCCACCGGATTGGAACTTATACAACTCGTGCGATGTCGTACATATTGCGCGTAAGCGTGCACATCACGCTTACCTTGTTTGAGCTTCAAGAGTTCGGTTCGAGCTCTGAACTCAGCTCTAGGCGGTTCAAACGTTTGTCTGAGCCGCGACTTGAAGACTTCTAACGATCCAAACGTATATGGGTCTTGCCACTTGAGCCCCAGTGCCCAAGTCTTGGCAAGTCCTGCCAGATTTGATTGGGCAAATGCAACTTGCATATCCCCGTCGTCGATGCGACGCGCCCTTATGGCGTCATCCAATTCGACGAACCATCTCAAGAGGGAGTCCTCTTCGACTCCCCTATACTTGGAGATGTCAATCTTTAGGGTTTCGGGTCGACGCGAGTGCATCGACCCACCAGCAGCAGCCTGCTGCTGTCTCAACAGTTCAAACTGTTGAGCACCCTGTTCTCTCAACAACTCTGCTTGTTGAGAACCTTGTTGGTGAAGCAAGGCTACTTTCTCGCGTTGAGCGTTAAGTTCATTTTGAATGAACTTGGCGATAGTAGCATGTTGGGCATCTCTATTGAGAGCCTCTAGCATGACTCTAACAGCATGGATGCCCATGGTTGAACCCATTCGTCCAACCGCATCCCATTCGCCATCGCTCAAATGGGAGTAGCCGTCACGCGTAGCGTGAAAGCTTTGGTCATCTTCATCATCCAACATATTCATGTTAGATGTGAACGCGGTCCTTGGACGGACTACAAAGTGCTACCAGGTGTAACGGGGCACCCTGAAGCTTGTACTGGTGACAGTACAAGCTACTTATTCTGATGACAGAATAAGGCGGTGCCTCGTAACTTCACGTCCACTCGTACGTGCAGAGGAAGACGGTAAGAAGAAGCGAGTACTTGGTTAAAGTAAAAAGTAGAACTGTATTTATAATAGTTAATGTCTGCAATAAATCACTATTTATCTTCATCTAACTATGTCTAAATACAAATGTGTAAATCAACTATCTGCTCACCACTCATTGCGTGCGTCTGTCGTGGCGCGTCTTCGTTGGTTGATATAATGGCCTATATCAACCAATTAGGAACTACTCGTAAGTGCTACAGAATATTCGTCCTTATAACAATATTCTGAGATAATAACTCTTATAGTTATATTCTTTTAACAATTTCTTACAAATTGTTATGTAACGATTCACCCCGTTACAGTACCGAATTATCCATATGAAGAGCAAGCTAAAGAGCTTGGTCTTATATCTTAGCCATGACCAACCTTTCCGAGTAACATGCCTACACCGTATGATGCATTGTTGCAATTGGTGTCAACTCAGGATTCTTCTCCAACTTGTTCGGTGAGCCCTACTAGGTCACCATTGCTATTCATGTTATAGATACTTGCACCGACGAATCCTCCATTTGCTGGCTTTTCGCGAATCGTAAATTATAGGTCACGGCACTTAGCCGTCAAAAAACTGAGTATGCGATAATCGATATTTACGATCTCGAGAAGTTGCACAGTATAAATCCATCAACTGAGCTTCTATCAACAAGAAGTCAAAGAGATCACTGCGCCATCAACTGAGCTTCTATCAACAAGAAGTCAAAGAGATCACTGCAAATCTGGACAAGCTGCAATAGTCCTGACACCTCTAGCGCCGTAATCGCCACAATCGTACAACAATGGTTGTTTGATTGTATTGAGCTGTCATGTTATGGAATCTAGAAGTGTCAGCTCTTTGCGTAACTCGTGATGAATGTGGACGCACATTAAACAGCCGTCCCAAGGCAGTACAGTCGAGCAAACTACATGAAGACCTCAAGTTTTTTTCACATGTATGATACGAACGTCATGACGGAATTGATTTTGCCTGTATGCGTTTGCGTCTAAAAAGGAGGAGCAGAATGAAGCGACTAATTACTCTATAAATCAAAGCGAGGACCGTAGGCATACGCCACATAATAATTGACAAGTGATCACAAGTCCACAAGATCTTGTCAAGGCTAGCGTCATTTTGTATTATTTGGCCTGGCACGGCAGTTCGTAGACTCGCTAGCTAAATTTGCACTGAAAAATCCATGAGCTTACAACATCGTGGAATGTAGCGAAGTTTAAGAATGCATTTCCTCTGCTGTCCGCAATAGTGAAGACGAGCGTTCTGCTCACCTTCGACTACAACACTTTCGGACCTCTACAATGAGGAGAGATATTGATCCATCGGTGTAAGTAAGTGAAATTGAACTTCACGTTCGGCGTACATACTTATTTTTCGCCGTACAGCTTTGTAGGTTGCATGCACCACGAATGGGTGTAAATGACATGGTATTTTTACAACCACTGTATGCAAAGCTTTTGTATATTTGTGACCAGTCGTTGCAATTTCTGATCAATAAATACGAAAGTGCAAGAAACTGGGCTTTTGCATCGAATCTTTTGTTATCGAAGCTGGTAGCAGCACGGATCGAAGAAGTCTTGAAGAAAAAGAAAGTAATAATCCACGCTTTTTCCTTAGATTGTAAATCACGAGGAAAAAAACAGCACTCGATCAGGAATCATTCCAGTCGCCAGCCGGCCAGCGACACATCGATCCGCAAACAACACCAACCACCCTTGTTTTGGCACTCTGCTTCAGCACTGTCGATCACGCTTTTTTGCTGTCGTCTATTTTCCGCTCACTTTTTACAAAACGTTGTTTCTCGCATCAAACAGATCTTTACCACGTTAGTTAGAAACAGAAAGCCTTCGCCGACTCTAATGGCCGCCGCGCGCCGCCAGGACGAGGCGAGCGAGAAGCCTGCGTCCGCCAGTCGCTCCCAGCGCCCAAGCAACTATGAGAACCGCAAGTGGAGCATCGAGGAGACCGTGGAGGTCGACGACGGCAATGAGCACCAGTGGATCAGCAGTCCCCATACCCTAACCGCTGGCTTTTTGCTGATGCTGTGGCTCGTCTATGCTGCATTTCACGACCCTGTCGTGCGAATAGAGGACCCTATCGAGCAAGCTCTAACGGACGTGAAGCGCGGGCTGAAGTACGCCAGCGTCTTTTTCCTCACGTATTGCAGCCTCCAGCTCCCCGACGGTCACTTTGTGCGCCCCCATCCGCTCGTGTGGCGCTTCGTGACCGGCCTCTTTATCCTTTACGAGATGTTGCTGATTGTGCTGCTCTTTCTGCGCACGGACGACGCGCGCCAGTTCATGAAAGTGTTCGACGCGACGCTTGGCGTCCAATTACCCGAGACGTCGTACGCGACGGACTGTCGCGTGTATACGCCCGAGCGGGCGGACTCGCACTTTGCGAACATCCGAGCGACGCTCTGGGACCGCTTTGTGCTCATGCACTTTGTGGGCTGGATCGTCGGCTCGATCATGGTGCGCAGCAAGCTCATCTCGTGGATCCTGAGTGTTATGTTTGAGCTCTACGAGATCACGTTCAGTCACTGGCTCGCAAACTTTAACGAGTGCTGGTGGGACCACGTCTTTCTCGACATTCTCCTGTGCAACGCTGCGGGCATTTACTTGGGCATGAAAGTCTGCCGCTATTTTGAAATGCGTCGATTTAATTGGGTCGGGATCCGTAGAATACCCAATTTATCGGGCAAAGCCAAACGAGCACTGGCGCAGTTCACGCCAGCGTACTGGATGGCCTACGACTGGAAAATCTTTCGCTCAGCTGAGCGCTTCTGGCGCGTCATGTCCATGGTCGCGATCTTGTCGATCATGATGCTCAACTCGTTTTTCCTCAAGACAGTGCTCTGGGTGCCGGCAAGCAGCAATGTCAACATTTACCGTCTCGCAGTTTGGTATTCAGCTGGAAGCTACGCCGTGGCAGAGTACTACATCTTCAGCTCGTTCACCATGAACTATGACGGGAAGAAGATGCCTGTCAAGAAGCTAGGCCCGCGCGCGTGGCTCGGCGTAGCGGTGGTCCTTACGGAGGTGCTGGTGATTTACAAGCACGGGCAAGGGATGTTTACGGAGCCCTTTCCGCTCTACGTCAAACTCATCTGGGCAGCGATCTTTGCTGTTGTGGTTGTTGGGTCTACGATTTACTTTACGTTTTTCAACGAGCCGCTTGATGATGCAAAGAAGATGCGGTAGGAGTGCTGAGGTAGTGAGTGACCGACGAACAGGGCTGGCTGCCAGGTTTGCTCGCAACAACATGGAGACTGACTGCAAGGCGATAAAATTGTTGTGGAGCTGATTGAAAGTCGCGGTAAGCTCTTTTGTTGATAAAGCCCTAGCACGTCGTCCATTCTCTCTTTTCCAGCCATGATCGATTGTGGGATAGACCTCCGATGCGCTGCCTGCGTCACGTGACCGTTTCTACTTTGGGGGAAGCAAAAGTTGGACCGCAAGCGCTTTCGCTAAAAGACCAGCAACTCCGAGAGGCAAATGAGACTCGAGTCCGCTCACGACCAGAATGGGAAGAAAGCGGGTAATCAACTCCAGCGCCAGTGTGTCTCGCTTTGACGTACTATTGCCCTACTTAATGGTGGAAAAGACGAAGGTTTGAAAAAGCCATAGTGATCCCGAACTCCTCGCACGCGGCCTTTACATCCCCATCACGGGTACTGCCACCGGGCTGGGTAATGTACTTGACGCCGAGCTTCGTAGCATGGTCGATGGAGTCGCGGAATGGAAAGAAAGCGTCCGATGCTAGACTCACGTCCGTCAGGTGGTCAAGAAACTCCTGCTTTTCACCACTCGTGAGTGGCTCGGGCACATGCTCGAAAAGAGCATTGAACGTCTCGAGCTCAGCAGGTGCCATGTCACCTTCAATGTACCGTACCCGCGCATTAACCCGCTCCTGACGTTTCACGTGGCCCTTGAAAGCCAGACCCTGTACCTTGGGGTGCTGGCGAAGGTGCCAAATCGCAACCTTGCGTCCAGCAAGCTTCACGCAGTCAACGCGTGACTGCTGACCTGCACCAACTCCAATCATCTGGCCATCCTTTGCGAACCCAACCGAGTTGGACTGCGTGTACTTGAGCGTAATAGCTGCAAGCACAAGGTCGCGCTTCTTGGCGTCGGTCAATGGACCTGCACTCGATGTCTGCACGTCCCCGAGATGTTTGTCAGCCGAGAAGATCACATCGTTGCGTTTCTGAGCAAATGTGATGCCTGCAACTTCCCGATACTCAACTTCCGGCAGCTCAAACGTGGCATCAGCCTCCAGAATGATAAACTTGCCACCCTTCTTGGCCTTGAGGATCTCAAACGCGGCCGGTTCGTAACCAGGGGCAATAATCCCATCGCTCACTTCACGCTTGAGAATCTTCGCCGTGGCTTCGTCGACCACGTCGCTAACAGCAACAAAGTCACCGAAAGACGACAGCGGGTCGGCGTTACGAGCACGCAAATAGGCCAGCGATAAGGGGGTGAGCGTCACATTGCCCACTTCGTACGCTGCGTGGAGGCTCGCGTCCAGCTCTACTGCAACAGCTGCGCCAGCTGGACTCACGTGCTTGAACGAAGCAGCGGCCGGCAAGTTCAGTGACAGACGCAGCTCTCGCACCAGCTGGTAGGCGTTGGCAGCGTCCAGGAGGTTAATGTATCCAGGCGTGCCATTGCGCACGGAGAAGGGCAGTTTCTTGCCGACTTGGCTGAGAATAGCAGCTGGCTGCTGGTGTGGATTGCATCCGTACTTGAGTGCTAACTCGTTCTTGTACACACGTGTGACACTCGGCGCCGCATTCCCGAGCTGACCATTGAGCCACGACGAAATCGCTGAATCATACGAAGCTGCTAAGGAGAACGCCGCTGCCGCACAGCGACGACGAAAGTCAAGTGACGTGCTCATCCCATGACTCTCGAGTTCCGCCAGCAGTACTGGATACTGCGTCGGACTGGAGCAAATAACGACCGCCTTGTGGTTCTTTGCCGACGACCGCAGCATCGAAGGCCCGCCAATGTCAATGTTCTCAATGCACACGTCAAAGTCCCGGCCATTCGCGACTGCTGCTTCAAAAGCGTAGAGATTCAGGACGACCAAGTCGATGGGTGCAATGCCGTTGGCACTCATCTCGGCCTCGTGCTGCGGGTTGCCACGTACACACAGTAACCCGCCGTGGATCTTGGGATGGAGCGTCTTCACGCGGCCGTCTAAGATCTCTGGAGAGCCCGTGTACGCAGCGACATCGACGACTGGCAGCTGGGCATCACGCAGCGCTTTGGCAGTGCCACCAGTAGAAAGCAGTTCCACGCCATGGTGCGAAAGGTACGTGGCCAGTTCGACGATACCGGTTTTGTCTGATACGGACAGGAGCGCGCGCTTGATGGGGACGCGCGACACGTGGGCGTTCGTGGACACGGCATGCAAGATGTGGCTGCTCATTTTGAATGGTCCGGAGCGACGCTGGGGACTTTGGGTACACTTGTTCGAAACTGACCACCATCACCACTCGGCTTTTGAGACCAACAAAAAAAGGCGCGAGCGTGATTGGCTGCTGCGCCAATCATCGCGTCAGACTTGGTTGTCGAGCCAATGAATGGAAGGAAGGAGTATCCTGATACAAGGGTCGTTTTTGGTTCATCCGTCTTTGCCACAATGTCAGGAAAACGATTTCGACTCACTCAGTTTTTTTTCTTGTCTTTCCCTGACAGAGTGAGTTAAGGAAGAAGTACCGAGTAATTGAATTCGGTCGTTCGCCATCGTGCTCTGATCTGATACGATCGCGCCACGATTGAGGTCGACTCAGCTGTTCGGACAGCTGACAGCATTTTCAAAGCGGCAGACCCCATTTCATCCTTTGGAGATACCTCGTGGAGTAAATGCGAGCGATTGAAGCACTAGTTGAACTGGTATTGTGCCAATATCTAGCTTACACACATTGTAGCATTTGTGCCTCGAGCAAGGCATTTACGTACAAGTCTAGTGGCAGAACCAGGAAGATTCCAAGCACAAGCAGCAACGCATTCTTTTTGCTGAGCTCTGTCTCTGTCATTGAGCTTTTCCGAATGTTGAGGAAGAGGGAGGGATGAGTCTGCGTTCTTTGGCGACATTTAAACTACGTGATGCTGTCCGCAATCACGTCTCAATTTATCGCCAGCTAAGCCGGAAGTGCTTTGTTTGTTCGGGGTGATAAACTTTTTGGCGCAAAAGATCAGCAGTAAGGTTATGTGTTGCAAATTTTAATTTCAAATGATCAAACGCCGACCATTTTTTTCGGAGAATGTTCATTCGGCAAAATTAAGATAAATTAAAATAGACGATGAGCACAAAGAAAACAAAAATAGACCATGAGCACAAAAAAAATCAAAAGGATGCCATCAAAGAACAGGAACGCAGTCGCGGCGTGAGCAAAAGAAGAAAACGGAACAAAACGATTAAAACGATGAATTGATGTGAAAACACAGTGTGTCAGGTTTCGAGTTGCGGCGACTGATTGATTCCCGCTTTTATCTAGTATCTATTGTTGTTGTCTGATTGGGTAAAACTGCCGGCGATGGAACAATAAGGTATCGGCGATCGAGTATTTCCCAAATCTAACCAAGCCAAAAGTCCCTCCGTCTCAGTCAAAACGTTCGGTTGGATATCCCTTGCAAATAATAAAATGCTGTCCACCTTGTCGTCGTCGATGGCGGTTGTCGCATATGAGGCCGACGCAGCACGTATCAAGTCGGTAGAGGAAGACGACGCTGATTTTGAAGAGCTTATTCCACCCGAGAATTTTGCCATGATCGAAAAGGGTCTTTACAGAAGTGCGGCATCTCAATCTGGTGTATACTCTTCTGTTACCACGAGATCGGAACTGATGGACCAAAAATATGCTATTTCTCGTTGACGCCATGTCGTTGTTTAGGTGGATTTCCAAAGAAGAAGAATTTTGCCTTCCTCCAGAAATCGTTGCGGCTCACGTCAATATTGACACTTGTGCTGGAAGATTATCCACTGGCGAATACAGAGTTCAACCGCATGCACGGTATTAAGTTGTTGCAGTTTGGAGTCCCCGGTAACAAGGTGAGATCGTGTGCAGTTTTCTATAATTTGTCTTCCAAAGAGTGCATGCAACTACTGATTGTGTAAATGGAATATGCACAGGAGCCTTTCGTTGACATCCCTGAAGACGGCATTGTTGCTGCGCTGAAAGCTGTGCTCGACAAGCGGAACCATCCAATGCTCATACATTGCAACAAGGGCAAGGTAAGAGCTGCATTATGCTTCTTGATGTCGTGGGGGTTGATATCACCTACCTCCTAAGTTGCATGTACCGCTTTATGTCGCATGTTGTTGACCTGATCGAATGATTCGCAGCATCGTACTGGCTGCCTTGTTGGCTCGTTGCGCAAGGTTCAGCGCTGGGCATTTAGCTCTATCTTCGACGAATACATCCGGTTTTCAGCCCCCAAACCCCGAATGATGGATCAACAGGTCTGTTCCAACGTTGTTTATGCTTAGCATCTTGTCGTGTACGTGACGGAATCGCTTGTGCTTTAGTTTATCGAGCTATTTAAGACCGAGCGCGTCACAGAAAAGGAAAGCCTGACAGAGCACCTCCCGAACTGGCCTGGTCTTTAGCTGCGAGCAGTCTGTCATGACTATGGGCGACTGTGTGTCCATTAGATTGTAGACAGCAGCAGAATGATGCGCTGGAAGAACGTCGTGCCTGAAATACGCCGTGGGCGCGAACGTTGGTCCAGCAGGAGGGGTTCAGCTCGCATGGCAGTTGTCCGGAGAAACAATGAAGGCTGAGTTGATGTCGGGCTCCCGATGGATTTTGTAGTACATAATGTTTGTTGCTCTACCACCACGGAGTCTCGGCATTGCAAACGTTCTATGGAAGTGGATATACGCTGCTGTACATGTCCGCGTAAGGTTAATGGGCACAAAGTCTTCGGGTAGAGGGTACGTTTTGTGTAAACTAGAAATGCTTTGTATGCGTGGGTGGACCAAGTTTTTTTTGTAGGCATGTACCCCGTAGTCCTGTTGCCAACTTACACACCAGATCGCATGCAGGCGTACAATAAAAGAGCAGACAGCTTTTTACGAGAAATATACGGTGAATGAAGCCCACCTCATGTATTCACACTCGCACAGAACGTACTGCGTTTATGCAAGACGTAAGGGACGACCAAGCCGTAAATTTACTTGAAAACATGGGAGCGTGAAAGCCAGAGGTGGCGAAATTGATTGTACAATATTTGTGCGAGATTGGGGACAGCGCTCTTCCTCGTAAAGCGAGTTTGGCGTGCAACACCCCACTGGCCAGCACATCCTGCATGCTACTTCGATTTTGAAAGCTTCTTTGGTAACGCTGCTACATCTTTGAACCCGGACTCTTCGCGTTTTGCCAAGATGATCTCAGGAGAGTTTATTTAGCATTGCTACGTGATTGAAAGTAAGTTCAAGACGCGATACTTTTAAGAAAATCACGCACCGCTGACTACAAAAACCACGACCGCAACTTCCGCATTTTACATCAAGTACTGGCAGGAGTGCAACACGACTCTACGCTTCTTGATTTGATGGAGCGATATAAGAGCTTGGATGTATTTGATTTACTGAATCGGACGGACTTGAATCTTACGAACTTTGCTCTTGACGCCCGTGACTACCGAGACCTCATGTCCAGCGATTCAGCTTTGTGCATTCGAAAGAACCAACGTGTGGCAATCTTAACGTGTGGAGATTGTGCGTATTGTGGCAGCGCGGTTGCACCTGTGCAATGTGAATTTCGTCTTAGATCCCGAGTGTGGCAGGTCATTAGGCAGTGCTAATTGAACGACAGTGAGTGAAGTCCATTCGTGTGCTTTGATGGATCAACCTCAGATTCTACTTATTGCAACGCTACTGGAGGTGAGGCCAGTGGTTTTGAAGAACTGATTCCGCACACGCCAATTTTGTTTTCTTGAAGAACGGTAATGAAATAGCGTTGCCATTTGAAAGTGGTAAACGTCCACTAGACACGTAGAGTACGCGACACTTTCATTCGAAGTTGATACGAGTTACTAGTCAATGTTCTCATGGATACACTGAACGGCATTTTGGGCGGAATCTTCGATCGCTACGAAAAATCTGACATTGTGATCAATTTGAACGGCGTCCACGTGCTGGACATGGTTGGGCTTGAGAATCTGGAGCTGTCGCAAAATAGCTTCGATCAATTGTGCGTTAAGTACTACTGGAATGAAAAGATGCATCACTTTACGCACAAAACACACTGGCGATAAGGTTGTCAGACCTAGAAGAGCTGTCGCAAAGTGAAGAACCGACTGACTGTGCATTCCAACGTGGAAATAACGACTGAGTGTCTTTCTTTGTTCGAGGACAAGCCTTTTTGCACTTTTGAGCAATTTTGACCAAGAATGCATCGGTGCGATCTCCAAACGATAAGATTCTCGTGAACAAACTGTTTTTTGGAAATGAAGGCTTGGACGGGTTGTCGCGGCCGACTATAGGCGCCTATACAATAAACGACTACTTGACACCATCAAAAGACTGGCGTTCGCTTTTTATTAAATAGCTGCACTGTGGTAAGGCTACATAGAACGGGAAAAGGCTCTCTGCTACAAATGCTCCCGGCGTATTGTCGATGTGTGCAGCAATAATTCTGTTGTCGAAGAATGCTATGCTGCATGCTGTCGATGCGGCTTAAATTGCTGCAGCTTTCGTCGAAAAGTCGTTAAAAGAAGCTGCTCAATAAAGGAGCACTTCGTCCAAGTTGAGGCACTCGATCAGCTTAGCAAAAGGGGCCATAGTTTCTGGTAAAGGTTCAGCAGCAGATGTAACAATCAAACAGATGCGTGCTGCACGCGCTGTATACTACTGTTATAAAAATTCTGTTTGCGTGATGCCAAACTAGGAGCTAAAAAAAGGGTGTTCGACTACGCCTATGTGATGGAAGAAATTCGCGATAACCACTCGTTAGAGATCATGCAAGCCAGTCGGTTAGTTTTTAAACTGCACTAGAAGTATGACCTCTTTTTTTGGCGGTACAACATTATGTGCGTCACCATGTCACGCTGAAGTCACTTATACGTTCGTTGTTTGCTATGGGTGTATCGGAAGAGGTAAAAAGTGGTCGAAAAGGTGTATCTGACAAACCACAAATGGAAAAAGGTTGTAATAGCTCGCAGTTTGTATCTCAATGCGTGCACGACAATGATCCAGCGTGGCAGATTCCGTATAATGTCTGTGTGACTACTGTATGTCATGCGGGTTCGCGTGAAGCCACAGCTCAGCGTGGTCAGATTGATATCGAGTAGCATCTTGCGAATGGTGTACAATTTTTCGGGAAGCGTGCGTCTTAGGACATTCGCGCGCTGCACCGGACTCAGAAGCTGAGTGCCCGTCTGAACGAGGAAATATATGTGAGTTCTATCATTTCTGTTTTTACTTGAATCGGGCCCTCAACTTTTCGATTATGCTATACACGCAGAAAAGAATTCTCCATGGATAGCTGTGGAGCATTTGCGCCGGAAAAGTAAAAGTATTGTGGAACTTCAAAAGCAAAATCAAGAGAAAAGTGCAGCGGTCATCAATGTGCTGTAATTCTCAGTGCTTGCCAATGACCTAGAAGCGCTAATGAGGTACCTGGCTGCGCTAGATGAACCCTTGGTGGAGTCGTTATAAGAAATCTTGATACGATGATGATCATCCGAGCTCTTGAGAAGAATGGTATTATGGATGCTGTGGTGCATGCTCTCTCGGATATTGTGGCAAGTGACGACCTTTATGTTGTTGTGAAAAAGCTGCTGGGATCCGCAACTAAAGCTTTGAGGCTGCGTGTTGAAGCCGAACTACCAGCTTTCGTCGACACCCTGCGCGCAATTTTTATTGAGGTCGATGGCATTGCTGAAAAAGTAGAGGTGGAAGAGGAAGCAAAGGAGATGGAGGTAACGATGGAAGGAAAACCTGCACTTGGTTTTGGTGACAGCACATTCGTTCGTTGCTCTGGATGATGAAAACTTGTTGGCAGTAAAAAAGGTTGTGGCCTGCTGAAGTTGCTTGATATTTCTCATGGGAACCCACGAATTTCGGAGGCTGAGCGTCCACTTGATCCTCAAATCGTTTCTGCCAGTACCTAGGCAGAGTGGAGCAAGTGTTGATGTTCGTGACAGTCGCGATGATCGCACAAAATTTCTGACCTACTGTCGGAAGCAATTGAGACTGCAGTCGAAGTTGATTTTGCGAAGTGGGGCTTAAACTTAAAAATGTCGAACGTGAGTGAGATAGGTGGCTTGCGGCTGCTGCTGCTGACGTAGAAGACATGCTTCCTCCAGCTCCTGTTGTAGCAGCGAAACCTTTATCGCCGAAGCCGAGCGTCTTTACAAAGGAAGATGAAAATGCGCTGGGCTCGCATCAATCAAAGGGATTCTGCTGATTTGGGAGACTCATCATGTTGATGAGTTGGGCCACGCGCGATCCTCTATTTCGCCTTGCTAAGAAGCTGCATATGAAGTAAACGGAACGATTACGTAAAGTGACTAGCGTCGAAGATGCGTTGAGTCAGGCAATTGGTGCAGATGATCTTAAGTCGTGGAACACGAACTAGGCTAATCCATCAGCATAGGATTCTGCTCGCCGCTGGTTCCTGCGTTGTTTTTGACAGATACTCGCTGCTTCAAAATGCGAGGGACAGCGAAAGTGTCGCTGATGGGTCGTTTGTCCAGGACGGATTGCACACGGCTATCCAGTTTTTGGCTCGTCAAGTTGAGGCAAGGCCAAAATTCGCGAAGACGCTGTGCAGCTCCCGTCTACTGAGATTGCGGCATTCTCGAGTCCGTCGAATGGTGAGATTGAACTTGCACACGATGACGTTGAACGTGAGCGTATGCTCGATATAGCAGACAAGATGCGACGAAGTTTAAAGGCATCGCCGGTTCCGCCCGCTTGAAGTCAATCCTGGCACTCTCCACTGTTGAACCTTCTACAAGAGCGCTCGAATGCAGTATTTAAGCTGCAAGAGAGGTCGGCGTACATGAGCGCCTTCTTACGAAAGCTGAAGTCAAGATAGTGACAGCACATAGAAGATCAGTAGTTACTGGTGAGCGTTTACCGATAAGTGGACATCCTTCTCTTACTCTAAACGATTGGCTAAGTAGCAGTATGCAAGGTGGCGGCAAGTGTCCACTCTGTGATACTTTGGAGGGGCCAAGTGCTTCGGTGAAGTTGAGAGCACCGACAATTCGCGTGACAAAAGACGGAGCGGGGAGAAGATGCATTGGCATTTTTCCATTTTGAGAACTCGCGTAATTGTAATGCTCAGTCGGAGCGTTTTCTTGCCAGCAAATAATACTGGGAAAGTCGGGCCATCTTGCAGAGCTTGTCGGTGCTTGATGACAATCGAACGAGGTTGTATCCCAGTCTGCATCCGCGTCCGTTAATACATGGCGCTTTCGATAATCAGCGTATTTTGGGGTACATGCGCGATCGCATCATGTTTTACCGTGAAATGCTTGCGCGTCGTATTCTTCAGATCGTGCTGATGAAGCATTGCCTAATGATCGAAATCTACCTGCGCTGATGAAGCAGCGGACAAAGAATCTAAAGCGAGGCAGCAGAACTCGCGATTGATCGCTGTTTTGCCATGTGCGCAGCCTCTTTTCTGCCACCAATAGCGCTTCTGAAGTGTGTGCCGATCTTCTTGAAGGCTCAAGTTGCCGAATCCAATAGTTTCTGGTGATTTGTGCGCGGCTTTGCGGCGCATTCGCTAAAGAGGTTCGAGAACCTGCTCGAGAATGGAACAACAGGTTTTATTCCCAGCATTGACGATATCCGTGGCTACGAAACGCGACCACCTATCCTCGCAACACTTCAGTTGCTGGATGGCACCCCGTTCGCAGACGCCTTCCTGGTCACGCCGGAGTTCACCGTGGCACAACGGATCGATATACGTTCCCACTTCTTCGGCCTAGAAGATCATGTGTCAACTTCTTGGGCCTCACCGTGATATCGAAACGAGTAGCTTATGGCAGAAATGGTCGGTTAAGCGCCGTGGTGATGTCGACGAACAGTTCGTTTGTAGCGGCTATTGTCCATAGCAACGATCCGGCTGCTGATGATATTGATGTCAGCATGAGAGAAGGTCTATCTTCGCCAGCTCTTGGTGTGAATACACCGACGTCGTCGGTTACTTCTTCGGCGCTCCCATCGAGTTGCTTTCACAAATTTATCGCAGCCCCTTCGTTCTTGAAAGCTGGTGTGTACCTTGGTGGTATCTTGGTGATACTTGTCGAGAAAGAATTGATCCATGGACGCGCTGTGCGGTTCTCACTTCAGATCCGGCTGAACCCCGTCGATATGCTACAGTACTTGGATGAAAAGTGCGATCGTCGCGTTTACAAAGTGCAGGACGAAATCGTTACGGGAAACTTACCAGTGCCGGAAGAAGATTTGTCCTGTACTTGAACGTAATACAGTCTCTGCTTCGGCTTATAGCACTGGCTACAGCCGTGGACTGATTGAGTTTGCGTCCCGTAGGTCGATGACTGTCAATCGGTACACGAACAACCTATCAAAAGCATTGTGGACTTGTTTGCATGTACCGCAGTCTTTTTTCCTCAGGCAGGCTCGCGCGTATCGAGTGCTGTGGCGCTCAGTGTGCAGCACAGACGCCATCACATCCTTGCGCTCGTTTACTTGCAAATTTTTACTGGCGAGGCAATTCCATTGAGTGACACAGCCGAAGGACCTCGCAAGCTGAAAGTGATCCTGATGACGACCTCGCAGACAAGATCGCGTCCGTCGGCATCATGTTGATGTGAAAACAGAGGCTCAGCGCACAGCTGCAGTCCTCGTGTTTGATAATGACGTTGACGCCCGTAGCCTGGTCGTACCGTGGGCACTGTTGAGCTGCATGGTGCACTGGGGTACGACGCGTTCTGAGGTCAAGAGCCGCTACGGGATCGAGACGGACACAGAGCTGAAAATGTTGCGCGTGCTGCGAAGAGGCGAACGTTCACGCGAGTAAAGTGACCCCGAAAACTTTGGACGCCACGCGGTTCCGAATAGTCTGCCAGTTGCTAATACAACGGAGACGACCCGCAGTCCGTCGCCGTGTTACCGTTTCGTTGCCGCTTCCCTGGGTGCACGTGCATCCCGTACCACGAACTGTTGGCTGCGGAGGATCTTCGTGCAGCTACCATTTTTAGAGGGCAATGTGCTCGCAGTGCCACTTCTCACGACAAAGTTTGTCTGAAACTTGCCCACTTTACCAGCCAGTGACGTGATTGCAGCTGATCTTCTTGTTGCCCTTGACAGCGACTATGACACAACACTCACTACCACTAGATGGCTCTGACGATGACCATGGCTTGTGGTATCTTGTTTGCGTGACCGGAAGAAAGCATTGGTGGGTGTGCCAACAGCGCCGCTCCTTTCATCAACCGATCAGATTCTCATAGCAAGTTCAAAGTAGGCAGTGCAGGGTGACATGGCACGATCACAGTGAGAAAACGAGCGGAACAACGGGCCCGGTTTGAAGATACCAATTCGTGGACAACAACATTACCGCATCTTTGATTGACTTCACCAGGCGCAGAATCTTGCCAGCACTACAAGTTTGTTTGTGCCAACGTATCGACACCATGAAAGGCATTACGCTTACTGCCTACTGCGTGGGTGGCTGGTACGTGTTCTTTTCGTTCCACTCGTCCATCTTCTTCTCGATCAAGGCGATAACCTTGGGATCCGGCACAATAAATAAATGCGTGTCGTCGAGGTCTTCGATCACGAACCGTTGCTGCGTTTTGCACAATAGAGGAATACACGCGGGTTCAAATGGTGAGAGCTAAATCAGTACAAACGATCCTACAAACTGACTGATATTTTGCAAAGAAAAATCGCCACGAACCTGCACTGCTGTTTCGTTTAGATGGAGCAGGTACTGCTTCGTAGCCGGGTCGCTTCAAGCGTCGAGCACGGCATCGTCAGTCAGTCAACGGTCCAGACGAGACAGCAATTTTCGTAAGATCAGTGCACGAAGCTGTTTTTACGTATAAGAGCAAGTGACGTACCATTTAACCAGAACACCCTTGTTTGCGGTGGGCATTGTTGTTGGAGGTGATGGCTTTTAGCTTATTGTGGAACCAATTCGCTACACATTTTTATTCTTTGCAACTGTATAAGGAGCACTTAATTACGTAACGAAATAAATTACTGCCGGAAATCAAGACCCTAAAGGAAAGGTAAATAAACGTCTTAAAAGTCGCGCAAAAATCGAGAATCTCAACAGAGATCGAAATGAAGAAGAGTTTACCACGCTGTCACACTTATGTATGGATATTCACGCATTTGGATCGCATTTTTGACACAGCGCGTATTTCTAACAAAATTACTACCAGCGTAAAGTGCTCAATCTGAGGCGTTTCGTGCGAACGTTAGAGCCTCATTCACTGCAAATCTCGAGTGGATATCAAAACCTTTTTCTGATCGTTTTTAGGGGTCTTGGGTTTTTGACGCAGTGAAGTCATAAGCATTGTTTCCCTCAAACGAGAGCTTTTAATCTACCAGAAAGCAGCGTAACACGATCGTAGTTGATAAATTCAAAAAGTTTTATTAAAAGGTAATTTTAAACTTGTTAAATTAATCGCACAATAAAATAAAAAAGTCAGAATGAATGGGAAACGCAGATGATATTTAAAAAAAAACAGCAGCATTCATAAAATTATTTTTTAGTAATAGTGATAGTCTTAATCAAAAGCTAGGTACATTAAAAGATGCATAATGAATATGAATTAAAGCGAGGGTTTTAAATCATGATTCGGTGAAATACGTCAAGAAACAGTTCGATATTAAAAAAGAACAGCCGATAGACAATCATTTATTTCTATCACGGCTTTATTCTTACTCAAAGCATATTTCAATAAACCATTCTTTCCAAGTAATAGAACATTCATAAACGAACTCAGGAGCGATCGGCAACGACAAGAGAGGCGCTCCGCTTTCTATTTTCTCAACACGAGGCATTTGATACTGTTTTCACTATCGTTTAGATGGCGAGCGCTTACCGCCAGCACTTTAAAATAGCTTATCTGTGGCAGTAAACTACCCATTATACCAGGCCTAAAAAGGTGTGTTTTAAAGCCTTCCGTAATACTTTATGTAACTCACAAAATGTTCAAAACCAAAAACAACTCGAATGGTGTAGTAAAGTATAAGTATTTGATAAGCTTGGCGCGCGAACATAGGCACCAGTGCGCTCAGCGAAATACCACGAACAAATCATATACATGCAGCATAACACAAATTAATGCTGAAGTATACCATTCAAGTGCAAATCTGAGAAGGTTGCTGAACGTTATTTATCTAAGGAAATCTCATTGAAGAGTCTAAGGTTCGCATCAAAAGTCTTGCACCGCTTACGAGTGTATAAGGACGACACAGGAAGAGCGAGAATCTTAGCCTGCGTGAACTCACTGACTTGAGGCCAGGTGAGCAAGACGATGTCCTTGACGCACCGCAATCATGAAACAGCTTATTTCACGCTGCTGTTGGACAATAATAATGGTCATAGTCTGCACATTATTAAGCCAGCAATCAGATTCGAAGGCTTTTCCGGGATGGACTTGCTCCACGCGGTGCTTACCAAGCAAACGGCTGTTTGCGCTATAGCCTTCACCCACATTCAAGTTGGAAAGCGCATCACAGCACCAATGAAAGTCTGAATGTAGCAACACCTACAAACCTATTACAAAGGAAATCAGGAAACGTACAAGAAAATATGGTTGCTAAAGGAAGTGAGTTGCGTCAGCTGGTAGGAGCAAGAAGATGAGCTTGATCCGCAAGGCAGCTCAAAATCGACTGATGCAACCGTCATATATTAAGATCAGTGGTCGCTGCATAGCAAAGGAAAAGCTTCCGAAAGTGGCAAATACTTTAGATAAACCTTCTTTCTGCCTCGAAGCTCTTTATACCCCTCAAGAGATAGATGCACCCCTAAAAGTTTTTGATAATGAAGCCAAAAGACGCTGATTTATTAATAAAGGGTATACTTTGAGTATTACTTAATCTCTTTTATCTCTTTCCTGAAATCAAGTTCCATGATACATTGTGGTGCCTCTTGAATGTATTATTCAAGATTTAGTTGGCTTCTTCTCGTAGTCCACATAATTTTTTAGCTTTGCCGTCCACCACAGCAGCTAATTCGACGCCTTCATCCCCATTTAGCGTTATCTTTGTTGGGATCACCATTCTAGCTATCTCACACGCTGCTCAAGCTGTTACTTAAAACCTTATTGATAGCGGTTGTGAGTCCACCTCACGGGACCACTTTGGTGCTAACCTGGAGGAATGTCGCGCTCACGACTAAGACAAAGCACGTCCTCATGGTCAGATTTAAAAATCAGTCTGACAACAAAAACTCGTACTTCTTGGCGATTGTGCAGTAAGCAAATTAGAGCTTTTACGTTAATGCTGTTGACAGCTAATAATTCGCCTGGTTTACACCAATCGTTTCGATTATTCGCGTCTCAGTCACCAGTTGGATTCTTTCATTCTTTTAATCGAGGTCTTATCTTAGCCTTGTCAGCGTTATAGTAAACGCTCTTCTTGTATGAACAGTGACTCTTTTTATGTGGAAAATCGAAACGACAAAAAGATGAAGAACATGAGAAGTATAATCATAAATAAATTTAATTGTGTGAAGATAGGCTTGTCAGGAAGTGTCTATACTATGTCAAATCTTGAAGTGTAATTTTTACCCAGTTCACAGTTCCTCCAAGATAGGTGTCTGCTGCACATGCTTTACTACGGAAGTATTTACATGCGAAAACAGATGCCTGTGTATCACATGTCCTGTTAGATGATTGTAAATACCGATTATGCAATAAGAATGCGTGATCGTTTGGTGTGGGCGATAATATCCGTATATTCGTGCAGCAGAAATACAAGGGCTTGTTGTGATTCGCAACCAGCTTCTTGTACCAGTCATTTGTTTCTTCGTTGATAAAATAATCTCCTCCATCAGAGATTATCTTTTTCAATTTGTTTACGTAGAAATTATCTTGCTACACCTATACAGCGAAATGTTTCACGAAGATTTGACTTCTGGAGATTTTTTTTGTAATGCAGCGGATACACATTGGTGGGCTAAGAGCATCCATACACCACGACAAGCACTACCGTGAAGGCATTTGAACTTGCTTTGATGTAAAAACAGAAGTCATCAATTGCAGCTTGCTGAGTTACATTACGTCCACTTACCCGCGACCTGCCATAATTGTTACGTACATTAAAATTCGCATGGTGCAGCCTTTAGTGACATCGTCTGATATCAGCACGACCTTCCTCATGCGTATTATTCGCTTGTAATTTTGATTGGTCAATTTCCTGTAAGGACGGATCTTCTTTCGCATCTTGTAAAATCGCGTTCTTCGCGGCAAATGTAGAGATTTCACTCTCGCATCTTCCGACTTCAAGAATCTTGTCCTTCTTTTCTCGTAATTTACAGCTTTTTGTACCATTTTGGCTGTAATACTTCACCATGATACCTTGGTCTTTTGCTTGATTGAGAGAAAGTAGGTTTACGCAATCCGATACTTACAAGACGTCATAAGCGTTTAAATCTTGTGTATTGACTCAGTGGTGACGAGCAGCTGCACTGTATCACGGCCAGCTGGCGTCTTGATAATGCTCTTATGGAATCCTCGTACACATTCTGTTTTTTCTCGTCAGTCAACTCATGATAATCTATTAAGTACCGTACGTCGGATGCCACCGAACATTTGCTGCATTGTCTAGACACCACTCACGCACCGTATTGTCAAGTTCATCACTGCTTGTATTTTGTCGCTAGCCACACTGCGTGAATCTGTCTTTGGCTGCGCAGGTGAATTTTCATATTTCCTTATTTTTAATCATGCCGTCGAATCCATGGTATACCTTTTTTGTCTTGACCATCGTGTCCGCCACTTCCTTTGGATGCTTGATTAATGATGTCTTCTTCTCATCCGCTCCTTGCTCCTTTATGACAGGGCAGTCTCCCATTCAAAGTTCTGGCAAGTGACAGTTCAAACAGTTTCCCTGCTGTCTTTGAGGGCTTTAAATGGTCTGTCTGTCTTCTTCCGACAAAGTTGACGGCGACGATACTGCCAATCTGCTCGTATCAACTTGGCCTCGTCCGACTTGCTGGGCGCGTCCGGTGGTACTGTGCAGTCCTAACTCACGACTACACTTGTTGAAGGTGTCCATGCGTGAAACTTAATTCTTCAGTTTCTCGGAGGGATCGACTTTTGCGTCACCGCTTTCGACCATTTTGCGCAAACGATCGAGAAGTGCATTTGTCGGCAACAATCGCATCAATTATTGTTAAACTGTTTCACGAATGCCAGCATTTAACTTAAAAAGAATTCTTTAAACACATTTATATTGTCCAAGTGCTGCAAGATGTCTCAACTCGGCTTGAAATTTCATCGAGTTCGGTTTTTGCAAATGATGATCTCTTTGATTCGTTTAGGTTGCCGCATTGGTTTAAACTTCGTAAAGTGGCTAGGTACTTACACATCTGAGTCCCTGTACCTCAAAGTATCACACACTGAACTAGATCCATCTACAGCGAGGCCACCTCTCTGTAGATTGTTTCCTTAAAGCTTCGTGGAACTCATTCTTTTCGTTTGTGCTGGGGTTGCGGCCATCGTCTTGATCCCCGTCACATAGTCCATCAAGTCTTTATTTTTAATTTAAGCCGCATTATGACCTTATAGTAGAGCCATAATTTGCCATGCCATCCTTCACGTCTTCCAGTTTTATTAATATCCCCATTCTGGACGTCTTGCCACACACAGCTTCAATTAAGTGGGTCTTTCTTTGTTAAAAGTTTGTCCACCGTGCAACAGAGTCTTTGCACAGAGACTTGTCACCGCAGCCCACAGGTATTTTGTTGGGTCACGTGTTAAGCTTTTAATAGGATTAATTCACAACCATTATGCGATCGCTTTTTTTTAGTTCGGCACTGACAAATTATTGCTGCGTGCACAAAGAACAATTGCTTAGCTTGGCTCTCTTAGACAACATGCTGTCACTTGTCACTTTTAGACTGAGCTCTCAGCTCAT